AGTTGATCTATTTTTTTGAGCCATGCTGTTGCAGTACCACATTCTTCACTATCGGGGTCGAACTCTGGAATAAGTAAGGCCGCGCGGTGTTCTTTTCCTGTGGTTACGGAGGGTAACTCTTCGTCTAACCCTTGCATTGCCTTTTGTACCTCGGTTTCCAATAGCCTTCTAAGGATTTTCCGTGCTGGAGGAGTATTTGGTTGTGTGTCCTCGTCTTCAGTGTCGCTTTTATTTGATGAATCTTCACATGGTGATTCACTCCATTCTTGAGGGCGGACATTATGGCCTTTTCTTGGCATATTGACGTGACCACGCTTCATAGTTTTCACTTCTTATCCCACTTCTGAGATGTAACAGTTATTAAAATAAAAGAGGGTAGAAAACTATAAGCACAATAATTTTATTTAATTTTAATATTTCGACAGCGTTTCGTCTTATAAGAGCGGTATTATAAGAACTCCCAAAAATGAGGTTGTAAGGCACTATATAGCTGGACCCCCTACCAGAGGCATCCGGTAATTAGAGTGGTGGCTTTGGTTTGGCTTGGCTACGATTGGCTGGCTTGAATGGTGCGCTGTGATTGGCTGTGGCGGTGTGGCGTAACACATTATAGATATTAAACCAGATGACAAAGATAGCTGGTACAAGTCAATTGAAAAAGAAATATCGGAAGGAAAAGACAGAGATGATTGGATGCTTAATCGAGGTATTTTATGGAAATGTTTGAAACTGAAACAATTTCCGGATGAAAAAGATTCGTGGAAAATAGCAGTTCCTGAAAAGTTGAGAAGACAAATACTAGTAGAATGCCATGACAGTCCAACAGCAGGACTTTTAGGAATTAAAAAATCTATAAACCGAGTAAGACAACATTATTTCTGGCCTACCTTAATTAAAGATGTTAAAGATTACGTACGGAAATGTGAGACTTGTTCTCAGCATAAACCTAGTCAACTGCCGCCAATTGGAAAAATGGGTAAACATAAAGATGTAACAGAGCCCTTCCAAATAGTTTCCATGGACTTAATGGGTCCTTTTCCGCGGTCAAAGACTGGCAATACAATGTTGCTTGTAATTTCGTGTTGATTTAGCAAGTTTACATTATTATTTTCCTTGAAAAATGGTAAAACATCAACTATTGTTAAAATTATTGAAGAACAGATATTTCTCGTATATGGAGTACCAAAGACAGTAATATGTGATAATGGAAAACAGTTTATTTCATCACAGTTTAAAGAATTAATTACAAACTACAACTCAAAAATTTGGTATACGCCTTATTATCATCCTCAAGCCAATCCTACAGAACGAGTAAATAGAGTGATTGGTACAGCAATAGCGTCATATATGGAAGATAATCATAAAGATTGGGATAAGTTTGTACCTCATATAGGCCACGCCATTAGAACTGCTATACATGAAATAACTAGCAAAACTCCTTGATACTTATTTTTTGGTAGAGAAACCTCCTTACAAAACAAAATAGATTTCGGACCAGATAAAGATGATTATGTTAATGTAAATAGAAAATATTTCGAAAATAATTTAAAATTTAGAGAAGAGATATACAAAGATGTAAACAAAAGGCTGCGAGAAGCTTATGAAATCAATAGCAAAAATTATAATAAAAGAAGGCGAATATGCAATTTTAATGTTGGGGAGTTGGTTTGGAAGAAAACAAAACCACAATCATGTGCTGATAAAAACTTTATGGCCAAGTTATCTCCAAAGTACGAAAAGGCTATAATTTCGGATAGAGTATCGTCCGATGTTTATATCCTAAAAAGTGTAAGGGGCAAACATTTGGGTACATGGCACGCTTCTGACCTGAAACGGGAAATTTGAGGCCTGGCTGAATCCGGTTGGATTCCATTTGTTGAGGGGGGATATGTGATGATAATTGAGATGGGACTTGTTTCCGAACTTGATAAAAGGATTGGAGGGTAGGAACTGTGGACAAACGGCTGAGGGCCGAGTTCGCGACGAGTGGTGGGAGTAAAGAATAGTACGACGTAGCAGTAATACTTGTCAGACATTTAAAGTTTAAAGGCGTATAAGTTTGCTTAAATATATTAAAACTGTGTATAAGGGAACCTTATATATTTTAAACAGAAGCTTATATTCGTGGAACGTTAATTTTATAAGTGCAACGAGGTAAGTGTTTAATACTATACGTTGTTTGGTAGTCTGAGTAATCCTGGAACAGTATTCTTAGATTATGCAATTATTTCAGTCTATGGAAACGCCCATCAAGTTAATTGTGACAATTACGCCTTCCTGCATCTCTGATATGAAGTGTTATCAATAAAATTTATTTGTTTTAAAAGATGAGGACAGTGAAAGACAATACTATATCCTTATTTGAGATGGACCGTCGTCGACAAGTATAGCCTATTAGTTAGAGCGGCAATACATGTTTCGGGCGACTTCCTAAGGTTCATGGTTCGAGCCTCAAGTAGAAATCTGTTTTTTTTTTTTTAATTTGTTTTCCCTTTTTCTTTTTATATTTAGTTTTATTGTTTTCCCCTTTTATTTTATTATTAATAAAATTTTATAATGATTTTATGCTCTCATGTACGTAATAAAAGAACTAGTTCATTTTATGTTTCGTTGCTTGTAATTTTATTTTGCAGTTAATGTGTAGCTTTATATTTTGTTAAGTATAAGTGCTTACCTGTTTTAGTGCTAAGAGTAATGTAGATTATGCTTAAGGATTATCTAGTTGTTTGCTTTGTAGTGTCTTTATTGTAGCCTTACATGTTTCTTATAAATATCATACACATTCACACATTTGTTTCTTGTCTTACCCGGACCCCGACCCCCATGGCTTGAGCATCCATGTCAAAGTAAATACGCGCGCCAATCGACTAGGCGCCGAAAGTTCGAGTGTTGGGCTTCTAGAAGCTTAGTTCTTCGTTTCGATACTAGATGGCGCTGTCGGTTGAAAGATTAGTGATTTCATTTTCTGGAAAGCTCCCCTTGCTCTCGTCCCCGACACTAGATGGCGCTAGTGCCGGGTACATGACGTCAACTTAGGCACGCAACAATACGTTGAGGGTTGTTTTGAAAAAAAATCCATGTTTTCAACTTCGATTTATGGAGTTTTGACGGGAACTTGGCCGTCGACGGACTGTTGCTCCTGTTTTATCCACTAGCACGTCCGTGAAGAGTATAGTAGCCAAACAAAATATGCCGTCGTCCGTCCGGCATAGTATACTATCCAAAACGACATGTACATATTGCCATCTAGCTTAAAAACGCCGAAATAAATGAACTTTGTGCTTGAAAAAAATGATTGTCTATGAAATACTTTACTATAAATAACAGAAGAGGGCAGTGTTTAGTGTTTGGGTGTATAGAATTAAAAATAACTTCAGTCGACTTGTCACGAAAGTGATTCGGAGCACCAGCGATTATGTCGTAAGTATTTCGTATCTTTCTTAATTGTTACATTATTGTACATCAAAATGAACTTTAGAATTTTTACTTTGTGATAATATTTATGTGATAAAGTTTTATACGTACTGTGGCCGTGGTAGGAAAAGGGGAGATCTCCCGCCGGGTAAGGTGTACTCGTAACAATACTCATACACTTTTTTAGTTAAAAATATATTAAAATGTTAAAGGATTTACAAATAATATTAATGTGTTCTTCAGGTTTTTTTCGTATGGCTAATGCGGTATCCAGGGACGTTCGAACAAAAGTTATAAATAAGGGTCTCTAGAAACGAGGAAGTGTGTTTGCAACATTTAATACTGCTTGATGTTATCACGTGTTTTATTGTTCTTGTAATGTATTGATTGTATTGATTCATTTTCACAATTGTTTTACTTTTTTCTTTTCACCTTATTCAAATAACTGTTATTTTCAATGATTCAATGCCATAAACTTTAATATAAATTCACAACAAGCATGCTAATTCTACTTTATTCAATGACGCTTTTGGTGATGGTGCACTGATAATTAAATTTAATAGGTGTTTGATTCATACTATTTTTTTTTATAGGATAGGGTGACAAACGAGCACACAGTCCACCTGATGGTAAGTGGTTGCTGTGGCCCATAGACATCTACATCTATCCTCGATTACGAATCAAAATGCAGATGCGTTGTCACCCGTGAGGACTAAGATGGAATGCCTCGTTTCCAGTAAAAAGGGTCTCCGGTTCTCTGCACTCACCATACGAAATACAGCAGCATTAAGCTACTATTTCACGCTGGTATTCTGTGAGAGCGTGGTCCTTCCCAGGTCGAGCCGACCCATTCGTGCTTCAACTATACTACTAATATAACTGCAGCATGGCTCTACCACGTAAAACATAGTACCTAACAACTACCTGCCTACCTATTATATAATATCTAGCCTTTGTTGAAAAGTGTTGCTTACAAATTTAAGATAGCCGGACTAAGTCATGTGCCTTTTGGAATTTGTGGAGGCTGCAGCTGTCTTGAAGATCGTTGAACATTTTCAATATAATTTGCTTTTTTTCTCATTAATGTTCTAATTGGACATCATCGAGTGATAGTGCTCTATCATCTGGGTCTGATGGCTATGAAAGCCGTGGTGGTCGTGGACATCGCGGTAGACGTATAAGCCGTGCGGGCCAGTATAAGGCGTGGAGTTCACAGAGGACGTAGTATTTCCATATTTTTTTCGGCTTGGTGTTTATTTTTTATCTTTTTTTTATAGCAACAATGAATTCATTGTTGCTATAAAAAAACTTTACAAAAAAAATCATGGGGGCGAGAATCAATAAACTATTTGAAAGCGGTTTGGACTGCCGCATCGGAGTTGAATTTTTTTTCCTTGTAAGAAGTTGTCCAAATTCCGGAAAAAATGGTAATCTGTTGGAGCAAGGTCCGAGGAGTACCGTAGATGTCGCAGACATTCCAATAGTAGCTCATGTAACTTAGTGGTTGTTTGTTGTGAGTGTGTGGTGTTGCGTTGTCGTGAAGCAGCAGTGGCCTAGAGCGTGGCTGTTGTTCGTGGTCAGACAACTCACGCAGAGGCGTGTAGCGGCGCCGCCAGCGGACACGCGCTAGGAGCTGCTAGCCCGGGAGCGCGAGTCCCGGTTAACGTTGTCGTGAAGCGGCAGTGACCTGGAGCGTGGCTGTTGTTCGTGGTCACAGATAACTCACGCAGAGGCGTGTAGCGGCGCCGCCAGCGGACACAAGTGTCTAAACAGAGTGGTAGGTGTTCTGTTTTTATTCTTTTTTGCAGTAATTAATCGTTATCATTATGCCGAAAGTGATTAAAAGTGCTGGCAGGGATGTTATTTTGAAGGTCAAACGTGCTTGTGAAGAAGAACGAGACAATAATGGGCCTATAGTACCGTTTTCCAAAGTTAGAGCCCGCGTTGCATATTTAACAGGTAATTTTTAGGGATGCCATTACAATAAAATTCCCCAATTTTCTCTATTTGTTCCTTTTTAATTTCCTCGTGTCATTAATATCATGTATTTATAATGCATTGTTTTTATTTTGTTTTAGGTGTTTCTGAACGCACCTTCACCCAGATAAGTCAAGAGGGTAATATAGCAGAAGCTTCATCTTCTAAAATTGTGACGCCAGGAAAAACTAGGAACCGAAGGAAAAAAATTTATGATTTAGACGATTTCGATATGTGCGCTATAAGGCATTTAATTCAATCATTTTACGTCACATACATTTTACGTAAGGAGATTCCTACCATAAATAAACTTTGGTTGGAATTGAAAACTGATATTGGTTTTAAATATGGCAGAACATCGTTAAGGAGTATTTTAAAGACTATGGGCTACAAATACAAAAGATGCCAGTCTAAACGAAAAGTATTGGTAGAACGCAGTGATATTGTAGCTTGGAGAGCAAAATATATTCTGAGGTTGCGCAAGAATCGTCAGGAAGAAAATCGACCGGTAATTTATGTTGACGAAACGTATATACATGCTTCATACCACCTTCAAAAATGTTGGCAATCGAAGGAACAGCCATTCAGAACAGGTATTCTTGCTTCTGATAGCGTCGGTGCAAGATGGATAATAGCCCATGGTGGACTGGGGGTTTATTGAAAACTGGGTTTATTGAAAACGGACTGCTGCTGTTCAGGTCTAACTCCAAATCGAATGACTATCATGACGATATGAATTTAGCTAACTTCATGCGGTGGATGAAAGAAAAATTGTGCCGAATCTTCCAACGAATTGCATTGTAGTGATGGATAATGCGTCATACCACTGCACACAGATCAACAAGGCGCCTACAATTGGCAATACAAAAGCAGAGCTCCAAGGATGGCTTACGAGAAATGGTATTACATTTGAAGACTGTTGGACAAAAGCGCAATTATACGAATTAATTAAAAAATACAAAGGAGACCCACAGTACGAAATAGATCAAATGCTAAATGAATATGGACATGAGGTTCTCCGTTTGCCGCCTTACCACTGCGATTTAAATCCCATAGAAAAAATTTGGGCAATAGTAAAGAAACGCAATGCACAGAAAAATATCACTCAAGCTCCTAGCGAAATAGCTGCTATTACTGAGGCGGCGTTTAGAACAGTAACGACAGAAGAATGGTTCAACGTATGCCAACATGTAGAAAAAATAGAAGATAAATATTTCCAATCAGATAGGCTGATGGATATGGAAATGGATGAATTTGTAATTAATGTTACAGGTGACACATCCGAGTCATCTGATGAAGACTCTAGCATGGATTCTGATGAAGATATGCGAATGGAAGGCGTTGATCCACTGCAGGACCATTGTTACACCAAATTTATAAATAATAATAGGTATTCAATAAAAGATTTACAAGGTTTCCTTGGACTTTTTATTTCGTTCTTTATAATAAATATTATAATGCTATTTCAGTTGTTTCAAAATACCTTTTTGGAAAAATTTATTATAGACAAAATATCAGTAGTCATTAATCTTAGTATTAGTCCTTTTTATACACGCATATAATAGGTACCTGTAATTGTGTAAAAAAATTGTAGTGGCGTAGTTAAACTTGTGTAGTGAGGTATCAAACTTATGAAAGTTAGAATCAAGAAATATATTTATTACGCGGATCTTAAACAATAAATATGGGGTTTAAAAAATTATTAGGTCTTTGTAAGTTTAGGCTGAACATTACAGTTTTTTTAATTGAGATTTGGTAATCAATTGGGTAATTTATGTAATTTGATATAATTATACAATTCCAGTAATAAGATTAAACGAAGGAAAAAATATTAGTTAAGCTGGCAACATTAAGCACGCCATCAGTCGCGCGCAGAGTTATCTTGCGCGCACTATACTAACGTACAGACGACAATCTTCCATAGTAAAAAATTGGTCTATAGCAGCTACATATTTATTTATCTATGGTCTATAGCAAGACTCAAAAATTGAAAGTGACATTTAGGTTTTTAAATTTATCTAAGGCAAAGGTATTTATTCTTTTCAGCCTAGTAGCCAGTGGCTGTAAATAATCCTCCCAGAACTTTGAAAATTTATCATTATTGGTTTAAACTTATGTACGTGTTCACAATGTGACTACGTACATAAATTTAAACCATTATTAACGTTTATTTAGATATAAAGAAATAAAATACAGAAATATTTATTAAGTCTTTTATTTTGACATTTCAGTGTAAATTTACAAGTGCAAGCAAATTCTTTCCTTCTAGGCGCAAAACATCAATTTCTTTTAAATATTGCCACAGCTATTGAAACCTCTATAATTACAATCTAATTTTTTATCGGAGGAACTGATGGTTCTTTGCACATAGGTCACATATTCAATTCAAATGATGAACAACTTTTCTCAAATTTTTCTCCTTGTATTATTTATGGTTTGTGCTTGTTGCTCCCCCATTTACCAAATATGCAGCAATATTCAAAGCTTAAGCTATTTAATAGCTGAGTGCTCCTTAAACCTGCAACAAAAATAAAATTTATTTAAAAAAGTAACATCGTGTGAGAATTGCAAAGGTCCTTTTTAGATACAATCAGTCACTAAGGGTTAATTTTTCAATGGTCACATATAAGTTATTCATAAAATAAAATCCAACATAAAAAAATGAGAATTACAATTGAATTAATATAATAGTTCAATTGTTTGACTTCACATCAGCTTGTAAACAATCTATTATTGTACTTGGCAGATTAGCATTCACATTCTACTTTTTCGGTCGCCAGTTTAGATATGGCTATATTTTTAGATATTCTATAATCTGTCGAAAATCCATAAGATTTCCATTAATAAACACAGTATAATATAGATAGGTATATTTTGATGGCTACTTTAATTTGCTTGTTTGTAATAATAAGAAAAAGATGTGATAAAAGTATAAATGAATATTTTCCTATATTGATATTCATTGTGTCAATCCTCCTTATTTCCAGAAGTAGATGGCATGGGCATTTCTGCACGTATGAAAATATATATCATTATCATGAATACTGAAAATAGATCAAATATAAATACTCTTTCCTCAGTTACCATCAGATTTGCATGAATTAGATATGAGGTAATATTCTATTCTGACTAAAAAAATCTCACTTTGTGGATTCATAATATACGCCTAAAATGATCATGCATTTGAAAGAGAATTGTCAGGAGTTTAGTCAAGTCAGTCACACACCATTTAGTGTCACTGCTACTAGTTATGTCAAGTGCAATAAAACAATTTATTAAAAGTCGAAATGCTCTTATGTCTTTAGACATTGTAAAATTATTATGCAAGTGTAAGTATAAAATGTATCATTTAACATAACTACTTTTACAGATTTTATAGCGTTTTATTTAGTTGATTTTAATTGAATTTCGGGTGCTTTCCAGTTTTTAAAAGCTGAACGTACTCTAGGTAACACTGACATTGGGATGTCAATCACCTCAGTCACCTGAAATGTCGGGAATTAAAATCAACTAAATTTAACGCGATAAGATCTGTAAAAGTAGTTTTATTCAATGTGTAGTGTTCGAGTAAATATAAGGAATCATAAAGTATATTTACTTCAAAACACTAAATCTGTATCTAATAAAAGTCATTGAGTGTAACACACAAAATATTCAGTCAAATAAATATATCTTCATATATTTTTTATATATTTTTTTATTTTTTCTTCATTTATTTGACTGAATATACCTTCTCTCAAAAATATCACTTACCATCTCTCAAAAAATTTTGAGGTGTCAACCTCCATCATTTTAATATTTTATAAATTAGATGGCATCATGGGCATCAGAATACTTATAAATAAAAATGACATATTAATGAGGCACATTGCAATAGTGGGTTATATAAGGTATTGCATTATTTACCAATTGCAACTACAAAGTTATACTTGTATGCATTGACAGTGATGACATATGGATCTGAGATGTAGTTTACTGCTGGACATATAAGGAAGCTCAAGGTTGCTTAGAGTGCTATGGAGTGAGCTGTGCTCAGGGATTTACCACATGATAAACTTAGAAATGAGGGTATTTGCAGTAGAACCAGAGTAAGTGACATAGCGGATTAATAATCTGAAGTGGCAATGGACCATCAATATAGCTCGAAGAACCGACAACCAATGGAGAAGAAGGTTCTCAAGTGGCAGCCTTGTGCCGGTAGCCAAAGTGTAGGGCAGCTCCCTACTAGATGGGGTGACAATCTGGTAAGATATACAGGAAGTTGATAGATGCTGGTGGCTCAGGACTGTGCTTTGTGGTATTCCTTGGGGGTGGCCAATATTCAGCTATGGACTTATAAATAATAATAATAATAATAATAATCTTTATTTCAGACAAGAGTCCATAAATTGGTTAGTAACATAACATTATTATAGAATCGTTGATTAGTTAAATTGCTTAAAAATCTAAGAAAAGAAAAAAAAATCATACATTTTAACAACAATATCAATAATTACTAAAACTTACTTATATTAAAAAAAATACATTTTATTATAATTACTTAAATTTACATTTTAATTCTTATGCATGTGAATGCGGATCCAGTGTCTTAAAAGTGCAGAGTCCCACCTATCGGCTAAGGCGGTTAAGATGCTATTAGAAGAGTCTCTAATACGAAAAAGAAGCGAGGCGCATCTCTTTCGCACTATAGCGTAAAAGTCATCGATACGTGCCTCTGCGAACATAGTAGATGCACTACAGTGACGAGCTAGTCCCATCAAAATCCTAAATGCATTGTTATATTGCACGCGCAGTGCACTATACGTCCGCTGCGTGTAACCAACCCACATGCTACACATATAAAAAGTTTGACAGAATGCTTTGAAAAGCATTATTTTAACCTGTCTAGAGGACTTGGCGAATCTGCGAGTCAGCATGTTGCAACGTACTGCCAGTGCTCTGCGTTCTCTCTCAATATCGCAGTCATCGCTCATGTTTGTGAGAGTGTGGTTCTACCCTAGTCGAGTTGATCCATTCATACTACCACCATAATAAAGCTTCATATGGTATATGACTACAACACATGATGTCAGTCAATCAATCAATCAACTTTTATTTGCCAACAAAGTGTACATAAATGGTCTTATAATAATAACAACGTACTGCCAGTGCTCTGCGTTCTCTCCCAATATCACAGTCATCACTCATGTTTTTAGTGAGCCAGTGCCCCAGGTACTTAAACTGAGGTACTCTTTTTATAACTGACCCACACAAAATTACAGGCGGTAAGTTAGCTCCTCTCTTAGCGTCTGTCCCAAAAATCATTAGCTCACTCTTTTTTGTGTTGTATTAAGCCCATGAGTTCTGGCATATGATAAATGGCTGTAATGATGATGATAAAGTAAGTTTTGTTAACAGTAGAATAAAAGGAAACAAAACCACAAAAAGCAAAACAAGTTTTTATAAAACTTATACAGATATTATCCCATTTAAATTTCTTACTTTTAACTTCCAATATTTTCAGTGCTATGCAGCACCCATAACACCTATGACCATTATAACAGTTTTATTCAACATGTTGTATTTGTATTCTTCATCAGATGTTAAAGTCAACTGCCAGAAATTCACCTCTTTTGATGGAACTAATATGGAATGCCTTGTTTCCAGTAAAAAGTCTTCAGATGTCTACACTTATCATGCAAAACACAGCAGCATTAGGCTGCTATTTTGTGAGAGTGTGGTTCTACCCTAGTCGAGTTGATCCATTCATAATACCACCATAATAAAGCTTCATATGGTATATGACTACAACACATGATGTTAGTCAATCAATCAATCAACTTTTATTTGCCAACCAAGTGTACATAAATGGTCTTATAATAATAACAATTTCACTCAACCTAGAATTCTTTTTTTAGGCATTGCAAATTTGAAAAACTACAGATAAAATAAGTTATAAAATATTATAGAGAAATTAGGTTTAAGAGAGAAGTTTTACCTTCTAATATATTCTGGTGAAACTGGGAGTTGCTGTCCATTGTTTGAGCACAAATGTGGTTTACATGTTTTCTCTTTTGGGAATAAGAGTGGTCAATGGTCAAATCAACATATTCTGAAAAATAAAACAATTATATTAAAAGCAGGATCCTTAATATATTATTAATAACAAGACATCTTAATGTAGCTGGTCTATATTGTCTTTAAAAAAAGGAAAATAAAGATAAAAAAGTCTACTATAACTGTTAGGGTTCCGTAGTCAACTAGGAACCCTTATAGTTTCGCCATGTCTGTCTGTCTGTCCGTCCTCGCTTAATCTCTGTGACCGTTAGCACTAGAAAGCTGAAATTTGGTACCAATATGTGTATCAATCACGCCGACAAAGTGGTAAAATAAAAATTGGAAATTTTTTTTTTATTACGGTAGCCCCCCTATATGTAAAGTGGGAAGTGATTTTTTTTTTAATTTCAACCCTAAAGTGTGATATATTGTTGGAAAGGTATTTAAAAATAAATAGGGGTTTACTACAATCATTTTTTGATAATGTCAATAATTTCGGAAATAATCGCTCCAAAAGTAAAAAACAATGTGTGTCCCCCTCTAACTTTTGAACCATAAGTTTAGAAAATATGAAAAAAATCTGAGAAGTAGAACTTTATAAGGACTTTCTAAGAAAATCATTTTGAACTTGGATGGAAACAGTACTCACTACCGGGAGCAGTTGCAGGAGCGCGGAGCGCTGCTGGAGAGCGAACATAATGGATACCCACCTTTAAACCCATAAGTGGGAACGCTTATTGTGACGGACGGGAAACTACGGAACCCTACACTGAGCGTGGCCCGACACACTCTTGGCCGGTTTTTTATTTCATTATACAGGCACTATATCAAAAAATATTCACCACTGTTAGTGATAATAAGACTTGTTATTTTCTATTTATATATAACATCTATTAAACAATAAACACCAAATGTTTTGGGACTAAAAGAAGGGATATGTTACTAACTAGTTTTATGGTTTTGTAGTTATTAATATGGAGTTTTTTTAATTTATAAAAGAAAACAGATAAGATCAGATAATCATATAAATTAATTGATTATACATATAGTCTTTCAAATATTTTCATTTGAAATAAAGACTTCTGAGACATGCGAACTTTTTACACAATAAAATCAGAGTGATTATGCTTGAGAGCAAAGTAAGTATAAATTTATAATGTATATAACCAAGTAAATTATAATTTAGTACTGTAAAATATATGCTGTGGAATTACCAATTTTTTCTTTTGTGATATTTATTTGCACAGTATTTAGGTACAAATATAAATGATAGTTTATACTTGTAGTGACACTTAGATATTGTCACCATAACTTTCATATTTTGCATTTTAATAGTTTTTAGACTACAGTATGTACAATATGTTTAATATATGACATTACTGGTGTTCATATTAATAAAATTAATGGAAAATGATAATCAACTCGCCTGCCAAGTTTGAAAACCAAGGCATATATAGTACTCATGCGGCAACTATGACAAAATCTTCCCTAAGTGGCAATCTATGGGGGATGCCTGCAATCAGCAGCAGGCTTTCATAGGATGTATATTTGTAGGAATAATGAATTAAGAAAAAATAAATTTAGAAAAATTACTGACCGGTCATGATCTCAGATTCTGTAAACAACGTGAGATATGCATCCTGGTAGGGCAGTTACTTTGATCTTAGATCCTGGTGAATACCAGATTTATTCGAGATAACAAATCGTAGCTCAATGTGTCGGTACACACATCATCATCATCAGCTTGCGGCAGTCCAATGCTGGAAATAGGCCTCTCACAAGGCGCGCCACGATCTTCGGCCACACGCATTCAGTTTCTATCAGCAACCTTGTGCAGATCTTCGCTCCATCTGGTCAGAGGCGTCCCACACTACGTTTGTCTAGACGCGGTCCTCACTCCATAACACATATATAATAAAAAGTAACACACATGCAACTTATTATTATATAAATTCTTGTACATAACCCTTGAATTTTTTACATATTTAACTGTACGTCATTATACAAAGGTACTCTGTGCTGTACGTCGTCGTATAATGACCACATAACACTATTACTCCTATTAGGCATGTCGATCTAAAATCGATTAATCGGAAAATCGATTCTTAGGAGTAAAATAATCGATTATTTAGATCGATTCGGAGCACCGCATCGATTCACTGAATCGATCCAAAAACCTCTTGAATCGGGGGCTGATTCATTTGATTCAAAAACTAGCGATAAAATTCCCAAACTGGCTGGGGTAAGATTTAATTTTTTGCTGTTGGGGGACGCAAATACAACCGGTCGTACTTTGTTGATAATTTGAATGCAATATATATTTGAATAAAATAAATATTTATGAACGCATCCAACAATATCGAAAAGTTGTCATTTCATTTTCATTTCTAAAATTCTAATTCTAATCTTACCTATGGAATGTTGATCTAACTTAATCTGTGCTGTGACCAAGACTACATATTGTAGACAGAGAAACCTATAGACTAATGATTAGCGTGGCCTCGAGTGAGAAAGGACGATAACGTAGTTTTAGGTTATACAATAATCTTTATGACTTTTAAACGTATTTAGATAAAAATTTTAATTGTTTAAGAACTGAAGTGAACAAGATTCACCAATCTTAAGCTCACAAAACACTTTTTTTCTCACTTAAACCAACTTGTTAACTCCTTAGATCGCTACGAACTGTCAACATTGTTTTGCAAAGTGTAGTTTGCTAAGCGAAAAAACCGGCACGGAGAAAGGGACAAAGAATCACACCGCTCTGTCTCATTTCTATCCAAGACGTATGCATTATCTATCTTTTTCGTGTGCGAATGCGAAAGAAGGCGTCAATTTGTCTATAGGTTTCTCTGTCTACGCTACATATATATCTTAATACATATAAATCACGTTGTGTGTCCGTAACGGACTCCTAAACTACTTAACCGATTTCAATCAAATTTGCACACCGTGTGCAGTTTGGTCCAACTTGAGAGATAGGATAGTTTTTTGCCCATGTGTGACCCACACTTATTTTTTTGCGAATTTAAGGATTTTTAATAGGACATGACAAAGAGTCGTCGAAAAGGGCAGAACAGTGTCTGCCTGGCAAGCTAGTACTACAATATAATATGATAGCTGTGAACCTGTTTGAACTGTGAACTTGTGAATTTACTTTATTTATTATTAAAACATACTGTGAGCTGTAAGTACAGACAGAGTACTTTTTAAATAACTAGATACTGTAAATAAATATCACGTGTTGAAGTTTATAGATGTTTATAGTAAAGAAATAACCAGTATTGTGTTCGTGTAGCAATTATTTCAATTTGATAAATAGTGGGTTATTAGATTGAAACAGATTTACCGAGAAATGTACGTTGCAGTTTGCATTTTTGTTAAAGTATTGTTGTTGTTTTTAGCCTAAAATGTCAAATAGAATTGATCATGGATTCACTTTGTAATTTTGTAAAAAAAAGGGATCGAGTAGCGTATGTGCGAACCACTCCTAACACAAGCGTTTCAAGCTTACCAGTAGTGGTTAAAAGAAATATTAATAATGTTAGTTAATAAGAAATAAAGAAAAAATCGCAAATTCTTCAAATTTCATGTTTCAAAATGTCGCGATTAATCGAAAATCGATCTTTTAATCCTCGATTTAATCGATAATCGATTCTAGTATCTTCGATTCAAATCGATTCAGAGATCGATTCTCTTAAGAGTGAATCGACATGCCTAACTCCTATCGGTAATGACCGCGGCGCATATACAAAGGTACTCTGTGCCGCGGCGCTTGCCGCGTCACGTGGTGGGATGTGGACAGAAATGTCAAAACAAACGTCAATGGGTGCGTTTGGCAGAAAACAGCGCTAGCAAGCGCTTGTAAGCAAAATCGCGATCGTAAGCGGTAAGCGCTGTCAAATCGTAAGTAGCTATTTTCCTCCAGGACACGATGTTAGTTTTAACCGGGGAATCTAACCTAATTTAAATATGTGTTTGTAAAGTATTCATATTAAAAACTTACCAATCATCAATTATTAATAGCATGTATATGTTTATTCATGTTATTATATTACTTAAAACTAATATTGCAACAAACAACAAAAAACAACTTATAAACTCTACTTCAAAACAAACAAATTAAATAAGCAAAAATGGCGGATTGTGTCAGCGCTACTGAAGTAGCAATCGTTTCCTGGCCGAAAACTATTTTAGCGCTTATAAGCGCTTGCTAGCGCTTTTTTCTGCCAAACGTGGGTGCGTTTGGCAGAAATCTAAATCCGTAGCTACATATTTATACATTTGTAGCCAATAGCTGTCAACATCGATTTTTGAGGGCCATAGACATAAGGCTAGAAATATTTGTATGGAGCGTACACAGAGAAACCTACTGTCTACGGTATGGAGATTACCACCCGTGGCTGTGATGTGTGATTTACTGAGTAGTGATAGTGATTACCGATAGGAGTAATCACAGAACACTATTACTTCTATCGGAGAAGAACGACAACTTCATACAAAATTTAAGAAATGAGATATATAACCACTAGCGCCATCTATCGTCAGCCTCCTGCACTTCTCGTGTGGCGGGAAAATTTGAATGTGGTCTTTTTTGTTTTTTTTTTATTTGAGGTATTTTTGGGTTTCCTATCCCAGCGCTAAATAAAAGAACAAAAATTACAAAATTTCTATTTATTTATTCAAAATAAAAATACAAATTGAAATAAAAAACATACATAACTTAAGAAACAATTTCTCCAACAGCTTAGTTCTTTCTATAAAGACATTTGATGGGTTTAAACTTGAAAAGAAAATCAATAATGATTACAACATTTCATTTACTTAAGTAAACAATGATAAAGAATTGAAATAAGATTTACAATCATGGATGAATTGATAATATGCAAAATGATTGTCTACAATAACCAAAATATCAATATTTTAATCTAAAACAAGTTAATTAATAAATAAGCTCCTACACACAAGTGCAAAGTGCAACATTCACAAATAATAATTTTGTTTTGATAATATTTGGTTGTCTATCTATTTCCCTAAATTGACACTAAAAATTTTGTCTCTATATTATATGCAATATATTAAGTATTGAATGCAGCTTATAAATAGAATAATTTTAATTCAAAATTATAAAACATATTAAATATTAGATTACAAAAATATTCCTTATTTCATTTTAAAAATTTTCATATAGAGATACATACTTTCTTTTTCAGGTTCAACATTATGTGTTATGTCTGGAAATAAATAAAAACTGAAATAAATTATAGTATCATAAAATTATTATATACAATTAAATTAACATTATATTCATTGACATTACTTTCATAGTAAACCAGTCCCTACTCATGGCACTACATTACCCTTCTACCAATACAAAATAAATGAATGGATCTTGTTCATCCAACTTGCTCTATAATACACCCACTATTACAATTAATATAACAAAATAAGATAGTAAATACAATAACTATGTGAAAAGAAGTCTTGTGTTTATCTATTGTTTGAGAATCATTTGATGCATGTATTTCTACTGCGTTGTACAAGTTGTGCCTTTAAATTTGATAGGTTTAGGACCAAATGTAATTATTCATATATTGTGATGCTGGAACTTTCTTAAGGTTTGTTGTTGTTTTAAAATAAAATTTGATTGTTAAAAATAATATGCAGTGTGTTGCACTTTTAACAATGTAAGGAAAGGCTTGTGCTAACTTTATAGACTTCAATCCTTTGGATGCTTTGTCCGATCCAATTATTATAAATTAGTTGAAAGAATTAACAGGATTCAAACTACTGTATGTGGTCTGTCCATCCATGTTAGATCCAGATGATGGTCATATGAATAATCATCATCATCTTCTTTACAGTCTATCAAAGTCCACTCCTGAATATAGTAATCCCCATATAAAATATCTGAGTAATCCTTAAAGAAAACTATATACATACCATATTACCATATACATTATACACTTTACTTACATCACATGGGACTGCAGTGCTTAAGAGCTTTTTCTTGGTTGCATCATTAAATTAACCATCATGAAAATGTTTTTCACACAGCATTCTAGGCTTATTATGTAGCTTTGTCTGGAAAGCTAAAGTAGTATACTGCTCTTGGGAAGGAATATAATATTTCGCCCATAATTTACAACTGAAAACAAAAGATATAATTATTAAACACAAATATTATCAAAGTAGGTTAAAAACAAATTAATGGTTTACAAACCAATAATTTGTTTTTAAATGGTAAAAGAGAAACAATAAGTTGCACAAGAGATTTACTTTAAGGTTAGAACTTATATGTATATCGTATACATACCGCAAAATATACTTTACTGCGAATTTCGGAAACCTAAATAATTTAACGTTGTCAATGGTTGGTATGCTGTTGCACTTAGAACACTTTTCTATTTTCTTTATCCGCCATTGCAGCGTAGTTTTTAAGAGTCACTATTTCGTATTTCACTACGATTCATTGACTAACACATTGCACATCATATAAATGAAGGACATTAATCTCAACTCAACATCGTAAACTTGCAAAATCTTAGTAAAAGATACAAGCAAAACAAACATAACAACCAATCATGAACAACAATAATTTATACGGCGACGCCATATTATGAGAAAAGAGAAATATATACTCATTTAGGTATTTGGTGTTACCAGTAAAAAATATAATTTTCTACTCATTGAAAATCAAAACAAAAAGAAAACATTTATTTTTCTTTTACTGTCAAGGATATGCTAATATAATAATGTAGAAAAATACGACAGGCATAGTTATCTTTCTATTGATTATTATTTCTGTATTCAAAAATTTTGAGTGTAATTTATCTTTAGCAAAATCTTACTAATTATGAAACAAGACATTTATCTGACAAATGGCAATAATAAAATTCAGCCCCCGTAGGTATTTCATTGTGTCCATACAGAGTTGACCGGGCCTGGGGAGTAATAGTGTTCTGTGGTAGTGAGTACTGACATTTACCCTGACGTGACTGCAATAGGCCAATAGGTATATTAGAAAATTAGAAAACTTTCAACTTTGGTTAAAAAAAGAATATATTATATTAAAGCAATAAAGAACAGGAATGGCTTTTAGTGAAATTTGTAGAGTTTGTTTAAGCGTTAATGTGCGCATGTGTGTACTAAAAAAGACTGCCCTCCAAAATTTATATAAAGCATTGACGAACAGTTTTGTAAGTTTAATAATACATCTTAATATTGCAAATTTAAGTTGCGGTAATTTGTTGTTATCGCTGGAGAAATACATTATAACTTGCCTGATATAAAATGTGGTATTTTATTTAAAAACCTATGTATTTTTTAAAACCTTCATTAAAAAGCAGTTTGTATTTTTATTTGAAATAATAAAAATAAGCGTAAAAAGCATTTGCATTTTGAATTTATATATTTTTAGTAAACTATTTTGCATGTCCCTGGTTTCAAACTTTTGGTGTACTATTTTATTTGTTTATTCAATCTGTTCTAAAATTGGTTTATGATTTGTGATATCACTTTTGACAGCAACTAGTTTCATACTTCAATCACTCTTTGGTAATTTTGTGACACGGTTTTAGTCAATTTGAAGTGATGCCTCTAAATCTGTGTTAATTGGGTACTGGAATAATAGTTTGTCAAAAATTTTGTAGATTATAGTGTCCATGTATTATGTTTCCATCAAGTCTCCTCATTTTCTGTGATCTTTCAGAGTTGTAAGTTCAAGTGTTTTCAGTCTTTCCTCATATGGTATGTTTTCGATGCTCTAGGAACTTTTGAATATCATAGTTGAACCTCTCCAGTAACTCAGTATAATTTGTAAGGCACATTCCAAAACAGGTTGAATATATGTTTTATATATTTTAAGTATCCTTTTTATTATTATTATTATTTGCCATAGTTGCCACCCTATGCTAGGCACGTGGGCAACTGCAGTTTTTTTTTATTATTCTGTCATGTGCAAAATGGTGCTGCCCAAATCCATATGAATAAAATAATCTATTGTTAGATGTCTAAACTTATCTGGAACTTACTTTATACTGCAGTTGATATTAAACCCAAAAGGTTAAAACTGCTCAGGGAAGTATATTGTTATTAACTTCATTTGAAACTAAGTGATAGTGGCCCAATAGTTAGGATGCAGACTGCAAACTCAAGAAAGTAGTAAGTTCAAATCTGCCATTTGACTGTTGTTGTAAATTACAACTAGTGTAAGCATTTCAGTTTAAGAGTAGCAACTAAGAGAAGTTTGTAATGTTAATAGTGAGGCTAGTAGCTTAAAGTTAAAGTATAAATGAAGGCTCGAAAATTCTATTAGGCTAGAATTTTAAAAGCCCAAACCTTGAAAATACTTCTACTGCTTTAAAATTTTATCTGTTAATGTCATGCAGACTCCTACTTACTTGATACTCATAACATTTTAAATTAATTAGAGAATTGTGTCCATATATTAACAGCGCACAGAAAGTTTGCCAATGACATCATGATGTAACTTATCAATGATTAGTAAAACTCAACAAGAAAAATATGAATAATTTTGAAACGAGGGCAATAAATTCAAAGATGTTGCACACGTGAGTGCACGACTATATTGTAAACAGTACTAACTAGGTGATGCAGTTGGTGGAGGCGAGAGGCAAATAGTCACAGGCAAACTTTCTGGCTCATACCTAGCTGTTGGCGGAGCCGAGAAAGGGGTAGTCATAGGCAAACTTTCTGCATGCGGCTAATAGCTTGCAGAACTCTCAACAGATAGAGAAACATAATTCTCAAGTGGACCTCCTACTAGATAGTGGCAATCTGGTAAGACAGGAAGTCGATGAATGTAAGCGGCTTAAGACTGTGTTGTTGCAGTGATGATGATTAACTAAGTGGTAGGCCTTGCTTCTGTCTATGAGTCTGCCTGGGTAGTGATCATCCTCGTACCAATACTCGAGGAGGTACTCGGTACTCAAGGACACATACTGCTGCTTGTTGAAGGTATACTGCAACAAGCAGCAGTATGTGTCCTCGCCTGAAGGACATCAAGAGCCAGTAGAATAACAGGCTGTGTGATGTACATATAAGTACTTAGAGGTAACATCGCATCTGTAGCCTTTGCTGTATGTGTCAGTGGCTGCCACAGTACATAAGCACCTGCAATAAACTTCAATTATTGCAGCTGCTTATGTACTGTGGCAGCCACTTACCATCAGGTAGATTGTAAGTTTATTTGTCACTTTAATGTTATAAAAAAATTATGTTGAAGAAAAAAGTTGTGGTGGCCAGCATATTTTATTACAAAATTGTAAATTTAAGTAGTTTTCCATATTTATGACAACTTTTCATATTTTCAGATGGATGAAGATGAGGAGCCCATAATTGTCTGTTTCATCTGTCATGCAAGACTCATTCGTTGCAGAACATTACAACAACAGGCTATTGAGTCAAGTGCAGTTCTGGAGCAGTTGCTTGCAGGAGGATCCATGGTATTATTTATCCCATCCATTAAAACTTATAAAAGTCTGTCATAGATTAGAGGTCTCAGTGGATGGTTCTGGAATCTCTGGACAAAAGGTTGCTGAAGTAACGAATAGAAAGCACTCTGAAACAGATTACAAAATTTACTGCGAATTGGGCGTCGCGCAGGAGATTCCGTTGATCAAGCTAATAGCTACTTTAGTTGTGTGGGTGAAAACTTGCCGTGTAATTGTCCAGCAAACAAGAGACAATCTGTGTACAATTTTTGTACAAATACTCAGATATCATCCTTTTTTTCTCTGTTTTTGCTCTCTATGATACAGATATGGAAGAAGTACACTATTCTATAGGCCTTAAAATCTAACATTGAACCAGGCTGGGATATCATTCCAGATAGTTTCTTAAAATTTGCAAGAGCAGAAATCATGCCAGTTCTCTGTCATTTAGTCAGTCTTTGTTTTCACTATACAGGTATAGTTCTGTCTTTGCTCAAGGAGTACCCAGTAAATGTATTACTCTGTTGTATTGTTACGAGCTTGAGGTTCGTGACAGTAAAAATTGCCGATAGAATTACCAAAATTAACTTTTTAATTCACTTTACACTAATTAAACTTAAAACACTAATAATTAATCACACTGATTCACTTTATTCCGCTCCGAAGCTTCGCTTGTCTCGCCAAATTCAATACTTCCCCGATCGCACCTTGCAGCGCCTATAAATATACATTAGCACCGAAACATACAGAACATTCAGGTAAATACGCGCACCAAGGTGTCGAAAGTTCGAGTGTCGGCTTCTAGAAGCTTAGTTCTTCGTTTCGACACTAGATGGCGCTGTCGGTTGAAAGATTAGTGATGTCATTTTCTGGAAAGCTCCCCTCGCTCTCGTCCCCGACACTAGATGGCTCTAGTGACGTCAACTTAGGCGCGCAACAGTGTATAACCGAAATATCATCTATAAGGGATAAATATTATTAGTAAACTTTTGTCAATTTACAGTATTTGTGAATCTGGAAAAATTGTTGAGTCTCGTTTCTAATTACATTTCTAAACTATCTAAATTCTTATTTAAATTTATTGGGAACTCTCACTTTTGTCCGGTTTTTATTATTATTTGGAGTTGTTGTCAGGAAGATGCTGCTGCATCTGCGGGATGGTATGGGGTAGTATGGATTCTCATACACTTATTTAAATAAGAGTTTGGTTTCAGTCAATACCACAACCGCATGAGGCTAGAGATGAGATTGAATTCACACCAATTAATCATATAGATATCTGGCCAGTAGAGTGTGATATAGAAAATGATTGTAAGGACGACATTTTCAGCCTTGAATCTGTTAAAGTTGAGGAAGAGAAAATTGAAAATGAGAATTTCAAATTTGAAGTAAACTGGAGTCATGAAACAGGTAAGATATACACATTTTGTGATATTATTAAATTAAGGTACAATTTACATAATGGCAAGTGGTTACTGTAGCCCATGGACACAAAATAAAGAGGACTTCATGTGCAATTTACTGATTTGCCTTTGCCTAAATTCAAAGTGCATGTAAAAAGCACTCATGGAGAATAGATAAGCATACATGGACATCATAGTGAGTGTTGCTAGACATTTTATTTTACCTATGTATAAATACATTATAAATGTTTTGACCCTGTATAAATGCAGCCAATATGTAGGTACACTAAGATCTATTAACTTGAATTAATGATATACTTACAACTGGTAAGCTACCACCTATCTTTGCTAATTTCTTAGCTCAGATGGACTCCTCCATCCTCCTGTTACCTATTTCTGTCATCAAATAGCAGTGCGTGCACTGCTGTGTGCCAGTCTGAAGAGTATAGAGTCAGTATAATCACAGGCTGTGGGACATTGCATGTTATTGCTATTTTAATCTTATTGGCAGTGAGTTGACTGCAGTACCCACTTACCATTAGGTGGATCGACTACATTTCATAAGGTGGACTGTTAGTTTGTTTTGCACTTCGTACTAAAAATAGATGGAGAAAAGATGCTCAAGGCATCCTTGTACTGGCAAGCACGCACCTACTTAAAACAGGTTGTGTCAAACACTCACTAAACAAGGTGAATGAATCATCATCATCATTACAGCCCTTTACGTGTCCACTGCTGGACATATGCCTCCCCCAAGGAACATCACAGAACACTGTCGTGAGCCATATGCATCCATCGACTTCCTGCATGTCTTACCAGGTCGTCACTCCATATGGTAGGGGACCACCCTATACTTCGTCTACCGGCACGAGGCTGCTATAATTATGTCACATTAGGAGAACCTTTCTTCTCCATCGGTTGTCAGTTCTTCGGGATATTGCCACTTTCAGCTTATTACACATAGCTTATAAAACATCCAATATGGTAATGAAAGTGGGTGGTTCGGGCCCATAAGTTATGTGATGGACTGTAATGATTGAGATGAGTCTGAATTTGTTTCATTCTAGATACTGCTGAAAAACAAGAAGACTTGAAGATTGATGCTTTTGAAGATCGACATAAGGATTCGGAGAACGACTTGCCACTAACATTAGGTGCAAAGAGTAAAACAGATGACGTTGACATAGGTAAAATAATTTATTTAAAAAAAAACAATGTAAAAACCTCACGTTAGAAATTTCTCTTGCATCATGTAGTTGGAGATGTACTGTTCTTACAACATTTTGTGCTTTTGTTACACGTGAACAAACCAAATGATTGTTTGTGACCCAAATGAACCAAAATGATTATTTGTAGGCCATACAATTATGTTGTTTTAAGTAAGAACTGAATCCGCTGGTGGTGACCCAAGGTGTTATTAAGATAATACAGGAAAGGGGATTCATTGATTTCTTGATAGGGCTACTGACATCTGAGAAAGCTGTTGTTGGTACATCTGCTAATCATGAGATCCTGATCCTGATGATTCTGACAAAAATAAAATCACACAATAAAATTAAATTAAAAATAATTAATATTTGCAGCAACATGAGTTAAAGGACTGTGAAATGATGTAGATTTTCTCAATTTTTGAATGCCTGTAATGTTTTACATATACAGCAAAGATTATTTTTTAAATTTTTCTTTACCGACGCCGAATTGACGTCGATTTCTGGAAAATTCTGTATATATACACATAGAAAATTAACAATTTTATGTGTGCTGGTGGAGAATGAACCTGGGTTGCTAGCGTACTGTGAAATTTCATGGCAAACTGCTAGCCCCTAGGGGCACCAGGGCTTGTTTTGAGTCTTTGTATGGCCTACAAATAATTCCTCTATCTTAATCGTTCCGTAAACTTCCACTGCTGCACATGGAAGGATCTCTCCCGATGTAGGGAGGATTTGCCTCAGTCGTCACGCTTGGCATAGGATTGACGATCGCAGAACCAGACGTGAGCACCTCTGGCAATGTTGCCTGTCGCCGGTCTGGATATTTTACATCTGAAGTAAACGAGGTGGTTATACCGCCATCTGTCGGAAAACCAAACCCAAAGTCGCCTCTTCTATCTTGAAGTCTTGCAGTCCACTGCAAGACTTCAAGATACTGTAAGTTCGTTTTGCGTAAATCGGACCAAAAATTAATATTCAAAAACTGAAGGTAGCCGGGCTAACAATGACATTGGGACGTCAAACATCTCAGTCCCCCCCGTGACCATGGTTGCTGTAAAGCAGCAGTAAAATCAGTTAAATAAACGCGATAGAATTTATTCAATGTGTAGTGTTCGCGTAAATTTAAGAAATCATTAGAATAGTTTATTCTCAGGCTACTACCTAGACAATATTCTTAATATCTACAAAAATACTGGTCAAAATGTATGTATGTATAATACTTGTGGACTGTGTGGAATTCGAACAAGCAATTATTAGATTAATGAAATTATAACATGGTCTGAAGGACGTCATCATTATTATTCGAATTATTTAGATTCTTTACCATTCTTCAATAAGACAGATATATTATATACTATCAATAGTTTTATGGACACACAAATCTTTGCCTTTTAACACAAAAGTAATGACGAAAAGAAGAAAAGATAGGGTAGCAGTAACTAGATACGTAAAAACCAAATTTGCTCAGCGTCAGTTCTTATTGCAATCTGCTCGTCTCTACAATAGACTGAACAAAGATTTGGATTTATATCAGTTGAACACATACAAATGTAAAGAAATAGTTAAAGTATTTATATACTAAAACATATAAGGACACAGAATGTTCATTACAATATGCTAATTGATTTAATTTTATATTATGTTGATATGTTGAAATAGGTTTTAGTGAACGAGAACTGTTGTGAACGCACACACACGCACGCACACACACACACACACACACACACACACACACACACACACACACACACACACACACACACACACACACACACACACACACACGCACACACACACACGCACGTACACACACACACACACACACACACGCACGTACACACACACACACAGCACGTACACACACACACGCACACACACACGCGCACACACACACGCGCACACACACACGCGCACACACACACGCACACGCACGTACACACACACGCACGCGCACGCACACACACACGTACACACACGAGCACACACACGCACGCACGCACACACACGCGCGCGCGCACGCATGCACCTTCATGCACGCACGCACCTTCACGCACGCACGCACGCAGGCGCGCGCGCGCGCTAACACGCGCTCATGCTTTTCTTTAAAATTCAGAATTCATCTAGTTCATGTAATATGTAAATTGAAAATTGATTGTTATTTTGCCTTGTTAACATTTAATTATTTTTATAAGTGTTTTTCCAAATTGTCTTCACAAACACATTTAAAGATATTTAGTAAAGTAAGGAAGAGCGGGGCCACCTGGCACAAGTATTATTATTACTTAGTAGGATGGTCCCAACCTCTGTTTACAGTTACAAACCACTGTGTTGTGAAATAAAGATTTTTTGAATTTGATTCTCTCCCTCCAAAAATGAATATGAGAGACATTATCCAGAGTAATTGGCTAAAATACTTTATATCTTGCAACGTTAAATGGGTGTCATTGTGTAAAATATTATAATTTCTCTATATCTCCATGGTAAGGCATAAATTCCGCCCGCTGTGAACCGTCTAAGGTATCTTACAATAAAGATACAATGTCTTACAACAAATAAAATGTTTGATTCTTTTGTATTTCAGAACAACCCTGGATACAAACAAATAATTTTTCAAAACCGTCTGAGAAAAAGATTAAATCAAAATCTACTGATTGTAACTTAAATGATGTTCGTAAAGGAAACCTCGATTTAGAAAGCCCTACTATTAAATCAAAGCCTAAACTGAAAAGAAATACTCAACCAGTTATTAAAAAGGAGAAGCATCCTGAAAAAATTATGAAAAAGAAAATTTTGAAACAGAGTGTAAATAAACTTACGAAAAATATATCTGAGGCATCAACAAAATACATTTTGGAATGTGATGATTATAGAAAAAAAATGTTGACAAAAGATATTCTCGCCGGCCACATATCATACAGTCATAAGACGCAAACGAACTCAGATGCAGTTCAGACACAAGGTGATCAAACTTCAGTATCACAACTAATGGACATATATAACCGTGATATTTGCGAATTTAAAACATCTCAAAAACAGTGCATTTTAGCACATCTTAAAGCGCACGTCGCTGAGCAAGTGTACTGTTGTAATAATTGTGATTACATTTGTGCAATTAAACGATATTTGAAAAGGCATATGAAAATACACACAGGAGAAAAACCTTTTTCGTGTAATATCTGTGAATTTAGATGTAATTCAAAATGTTATTTGCAAACACATATGAAAATTCATACCGGTGAAAAACCTTTTTCGTGTAATATCTGTGAATTTAGGTGTATTACAAAAAGTCATTTGCAAACACATATGAAAATACATACTGGAGAAAAACCTTTTTCGTGTAATATCTGTGAATTTAGGTGTGTTACAAAAGGTTATTTGCGAACACATATGAAAATACATACCGGAGAAAAACCTTTTTCTTGTAATATTTGTGAATATAAATGTATACTAAAAAGTACTATGAGGAGACACAAAAAAATACACACCGGAGAAAAACCTTTTTCGTGTGATATCTGTGAATATAGATGTAATATAAAAAGCAATTTGCAAAAGCACATGAAAATACACACTGAAGCAAAACTATTTTCGTGAGCTATCTGATAAATATGTACAATATTTTGTAAACGTGTTTTATATAAATATAAAAGTACCAGATAAAAGTCAATTTCTTGTGATTATAGAACGAGTAGAAAAAATTCCGTGCCTTATGTGCTAAATGAAACTGCATTTATTTGGAAGAAGTTAAGGCTACAGTCTTTTAAAGTTTACTCGTATCGAGTCGTTAGTGAAACTTAGCATTTTTTTTTCAGAGGAAACTAACATTTCGGAGTAAAATATTTTGATAGCACATAAATACCCACAATATAAGTAAAAACAACATATTTTTTATGTTCATCTTTGTGGTCTGTGTTAGCTAAAACAAACGTTAACTACAGCTTTGTCGCATCCAACGCCATTTCGAGATTTGTTCGTGTACCATTATAAGTCAATCAATAGTAATAGGATGAAATCATTTCAGCGTATTTATAGCTAAACATCTTTATCTCCAAAGTACGCTGTTTCTTTTGATCTAAATATCTTCGTTCTAAATTATTTATGCTGTAATTAGGTTTTTCTAACAGGCAAGTGTTTAATTAGACAAATATCAAAAAATAATTTTCAAACTAGCGTATTTTAAAAGTAATAGTTATTTCATCGATCTGCATAATAATAACATAACCAATAATTGCATGGAATATTCCTTAGTAGCCGCTGAGTGGCCGTAGCGTTCAGAAGTCTGTTCTGTGCCAAGTTTGTGCGATTCCTCTCGCTCTCTTTCTCAAACCTTGGTTGCGTGTTGTTACAAATTGAATAGCGTTCAGAAGTCTGTTCTGTGCCAAGTTTGTGCGATTCCTCTCGCTCTCTTTCTCAAACCTTGGTTGCGTGTTGTTACAAATTGAATAGCGTTCAGAAGTCTGTTCTGTGCCAAGTTTGTGCGATTCCTCTCGCTCTCTTTCTCAAACCTTGGTTGCGTGTTGTTACAAATTGAATAGCGTTCAGAAGTCTGTTCTGTGCCAAGTTTGTACGGTTCCTCTCGCTCCCTTTCTCAAACCTTGGTTGCGTGTTGTTACAAATTGAATAGCGTTCAGAAGTCTGTTCTGTGCCAAGTTTGTGCGATTCCTCTCGCTCCCTTTCTCAAACCTTGGTTGCGCGTTGTTACAAATTGAATAGCGTTCAGAAGGCTGTTCTGTGCCAAGTTTGTGCGGTTCCTCTCGCTCCCTTTCTCAAACCTTGGTTGCGCGTTGTTTCAAATTGAAAGTTGCTCTACTTTATTAATTTTTGCGTATTAAATTTCTTTTAGATGTTATAAATCACTGTGTTATAAACATTTTATTTAGATATAGATAAACGTAAAAAAAAGGCTAAAGGTAGTTGTTGGGAGCACTAAGCTCGAAGTTGTTGACGAGTACGTTTACCTAGTACAAATAGTCCGACTAGGTAAGTCCAACTTCGACCGAGAGGTTCATCGACGGATTCAACTCGGCTGGGCAGCGTTCGGGAAATTACGACGCATCTTCTCGTCAGGTATACCTCAAAACCTGAAAATTAAGTTGTACAACCAGTGCAAGTTGCCAGTGATGACCTACGGAACCGAGACATGGTCCTTCACTGCTGGTCGTATGAGGACGCTCAAAGTCGCTCAGCGAGCTATGGAGAGGGCTATGCTCGGAGTTTCTCTGCGTGATAGACTTAGAAATGAGGATATCCGCAGTAGAACCAGAGTGACCGACATAGCCCAACGGATTAGTAAGCTGAAGTGGCAATGGGCCGGCCATATAGCTCGAAGAACCGACAACCGTTGGGGAAAAAAGGTTCTCGAGTGGCAGCCTCGTACCGGTAGGTGAAGTGTAGGGCGACCCCCCACTAGATGGAGTGACGACCTGGTAAGACATGCAGGAAGTCGATGGATGCAGGTGGCTCAGGACCGTGCTTTGTAACATACCTTGGGGGAGGCCTATGTCCAGCAGTGGACTTGTGAAGGGCTGTAATGATGATGATGATGAATAAAAGTCAAATCAATATTATTTTTACACAACAACAGAAATAATTTTAAGAAATCGTTTATTTATTACTGTTTTCACACTAATTGTTCAAAGTGCATGTCTCAATGCAAAAACGGCACGGAAGGCTTGGGTGTTTTGTCTTATTATTTCTTGAGATTCTAATTCCTTATATCATCCCCAGATAACAAAATCAGGTTAGGTTCGGGTCTGGGGATCTTGGGGGCCAGACAATGGATGCATTACGGCCAATCCGCCTCTCTGGGAAATTCTGGTTAAAATTACCTCTAACCTGTCTTGCATTGTAACAAGTGGCATCGACGCACTAAAATATCATGCTCTAACGTGTTAATAAAGTGACATCCGAATCTGCCATGGCCTTCACAATTTTTTTTTAATTTAAATAATTTTCACCATTTAATCTCGTTGGAAGTTCTTTTGGGCCAATCATCAATCTCTCAATCAATCAATCTCTGCCAACAACGCCCGTCCACAAATTTACACCAAAATTGGTGTTGGAAATTGGGACGCCGAATTAGTTTTAGATTTTCGGTCGCCCAGGAATGGTAATTTAGTATATTAAATATTCCGTTGCGGGTAAATGTCGATTCTTCTGTCCATAAAGTTCGGTTAAATAGTCGTCGGGGTTTTCGTTGTTTCTTCTTAACGTCTCTTGACAAAATTCAATTCGGCGTTGGTAGTCCGGTGCAAATAAATCTTGCACTTTCCATATGTGATACGGGTGATTCCCTCATTGCGCAGTATTCCGTGCACGGTAGTGCGAGAGATTCCTGTGAAAGAAGGACAAAAAAGGTAATGCACAAATATTTTTGTTATTGTTATTGTTATCTACATTTCGAAGTCTAGGGCAATTATATTCTGGCCTTTTGGAACTTGTGCGTAGGGCCAACACATAATAAACAGCCTTAGCCCAGATTTGAGCACGCAGCCTTGTGGAACACCAGCATTGATAGGCTTGTAATCGGAGCTTGCACCATCTACAACGACCTTGATGCTCCAATCTGCAAGAAGCTGGTGATCCAATTGCACAATTTCTCGGGAAGCCCATAGGAAGGGAGCTTCGAAAGAAGCGCTTTGTGCCAAACCCAATCGAAGGTCTTCGCAATGTCCAAACTAACGGTCAATACCTCCCCCTTGGACTCTACTGCCTCCGCCCATCTATGAGTAAGGAAGACCAGAAGATCACCAGCTGATCGACTTTAAGTCTGGTGATCTTCTGATTCTCTTCTGATTGTATTTGTGATAAAAGTTGTACTTGCGAGTAAAATACGTTATTTTCAATTATTTTATCCAACATTCATAACTATACACCATATTAATAGTAATTTCAAATTCATGAAATGAATAAGGTTACAACTTTTTTGTGTTATTTTTAGAGCTGAGGAACTCATAAAGTTTATGAAATTATCAAAAAGTTATCCAGTTAGGGTTAAGTAATTTTTTTTTAAAATTAATAAAAAAATCAAATAAAAATTTCTCTGAAACAGAAATTTTAATTATGTGAGCTAAATCTGAGCTACTAGTAGTTAGAATTTTGCAGCCCTATTAATAAACACAGACTTGATCGAGATTAACTTTACTCCTAGTTTAAAGCTTAAAATATCTAATTTCAGTATTAATAAACATTGAGTAATGAGGGAGTAAACTAATCCGAATCTACTCTCGGAATAAAAGTTAATCCTTGGCGGTACCTAGTTTAACGACTGAGTAAGCACAGACTAGTCGCGTATTTCGACATTTTGTAAAACTTTTCGTTAAATTCATAAGTTTTAAGCACTATATAGTAACAAAAACAGCACAATGGTTTAAAATGCCAATAAGTGATGTGGAGCAGAACAAAGTGATTGCAGGTTTTTATTCATTATGTGGATTTAGACGAGTGATTGGGGGTATTGATTGCCACATGTTCTAATCCCGAAAGTCGCTGGAAACATCGGACAATACTACATAAACAGGAAAGGATACAGTTCAAGAAATGTACAAGTAAGTTTTATAGCAACTAGCTAGCCCATCTTTGCTATATGGGTACTTAGTTATTTTCTTAGATTCAATACAAT